AGATGGGGAAAAGGTTGCACAAATGAAAACAACAAGGATGTGTACTCTACACTATGCTGTAAGAGTGGCCCAAATCCAGAACACGGACGACACCGACGTGGGGCAGCAGGAATGCTCGTATATTGCTGGCGAACGTGCAAAATAGCACAGCCACTTTGTCAGTCTCGGATATAACTTACGTGTAAATTATTCATTTTTAATAATGGCTGCGTGTAACAACTGCATCGCGAAATTCCTGAAAATTTAGCAACGACCTCTTGTAAGCTGGTACCAGCTGCTCCAAGACACCCCAAACAGGTCCTGCGATTTTTTTTTTCCCTCCAGGATGCTTTGCTTTAATTTCACAGAACCCTGCAAGGTTGACAATTTCTTCATGAATTCTCCCTAATATGTTACAGAGGTTAATAGCCAAACCCAGTCCATCAAATTCTACAGCCATGCTGTGCTCACCTCACCCCGTTACCTCCGAAGTAACAGTGAGTTTTGCAGCGGAAGTGAAATCTATCTCGTTGCAGACCCAAGAGCAAATGAGGACACTTCCCAGGCAGATGGTGCTAATTACACATATGGCCACCAGATGGCGAGCACGCCGGCCTCCTCCCCGTGAAACCCACTGTATTGAATTTCAAGAAGGGAAGGACTGTGCCTTCTTGGGGGACAGATAGGGAGCTTTTCTCAGCATTGGAGAATGTTTGTGTACTTCATTAGGAGTCAGCTGCTCTCTCCCCTCTAATTTTCCATTACACAACAATGCTTGTAACTAAGTGTACATTAAAAGCCACGTACTTAAAACACATTACCCCCTTTATTCCACACACAAGTCCCTGTGAAGTGTGAGGGGCCATTTCTTACTTTTCCAGATGAGAAAGCTCGGCCGTGCCTCAGTCCATTTGCTCGTTGCATATATATTTATCGAGCACCTGCCATGATCCTGCACATAGTAAGTAGCAGGATCATTATCTAAACTCCAGAAACTCAGCTCCCACATCTCACCTTTCTCCCTTATCCCAAATACCTGAGTTGTTATCACTTTATTAAACAACCCCCCCCCCAAACAAAGCTGGCTGGATTTTATGAATTATCATCAAAGCCGCATCACCATGTGACGCGGTGCTTTGCTGATTAGACGCAGGGTTCTCATTTGTAGAATCCCCAAAATCCATGCTCACCTGCTGGTTTGTAGGACTTTGGTTACCCAAGTGCAAACAAGTGAAGCTCGACCGTGTAAACGATTGCTAACTAATAGGAGTATTTGATGTGGCCAAGATCTCTGCTGCTGTTGCTGGTGACATCGCGTACAAACGTTTTGAAGTGAGGGGGCTAAAGTAAGGGATGCCAGCGAAAATGTGATATTACAAGAAGACAATGGGAAAGCAACATGGATGGACCTTGAGGGTGTTATGCTGAGCGAAATAAGTCAGGCAGAGAAGGACAAATATCATATGTTTGCACGTATAGGAGGATTAGGAGGAACTTAATGGAGGACCTTGGGGGAGAAGAAGGGGGAAATAGTGGGTGAGAGGGAGGGAGGCAAACCATGAGAGACTCTTGAATGCTGAGAACAAACTGAGGACTGATGGGGGTAGGGGGGGTGATGGGCATGGGGGAGGGCACTTGTTGGGATGAGCACTGGGTGTTATATGTAAACCAACTTGACAATAAGATATTAAGAAAAAAAAACAGAAGATACAGGACACATGAACAGTGTAATGAAAAGATGCGCTGTGTTTAAGGCAAAGCTCTTACCACAGCCTACATGATGGCAGGGGATCTGGGCCCTCCCCTACATCTGCAATCACCACTCATGCGGTACCTTCCTCTGTGTTCATCTCACCACAGGGCCTTTGCACTTGCTGTTCCTTATGTCGGGAAACTTTGGCACACATAGTCACATGATGTGCTTCCTTACTCTCCTTGGGCCTCTCTTTCCTCATCACTAACCGGAGAGGCTTTCTGGGATCTGTTTTTAAAAAGGTCACCCCAGAGCCTATCTCTTTTGCGTGACACATGGGGAACTCTTCATGCTCCCACTGTCTCCATGCCCCCGCTTTTCCCCTGACTCTGTCACATTTCTTTGAAGCACTTTGTCATCACCTCTCATTGTCATCGTACACTTGTGTTTATTTCTTTTCTACCTTCTGTCACAGAAGTGTACATTATATGGGAATAGCAAATTTTGTTCTGGCATTATATTCCCCAATACCTGCACCGATAAATATATCAGAAATGAATCCATGTCAGACACACACTATGGGCTCAATAACCGGCATTGAGTAAGAGGAAGATAGATGTCCGTTACAAAGCTCACAGACACGGAAGCAAACAGGACAGATATCACTGAAATGATAAATGGAATGTTCCTACCAAATCCCAGATACTCCTTCTCTTTATTGAATTTTTTTCCCAGTAAACCAAATTGATCCCCCATAGATACAGTGGTAGCTATGAAGAAAGACCTCTTAGGAAATCGACATCCAGCTTCACAGGGAAAGGCATCAATGAGAGCAGCGAGAGGGTCCACCAGCGAGCTCTAGAGGCAAAGCCAATGCACAATAAAGTGAGGAGGAGTTAATCGTAGGTTTTCTGACTTGGCACCTAAAGAGAGCATCACGTGGTCCAAGCTTTTTTGGAAATATCACTGAAAAAGCCAAGGATCTAACATTAACCAGATTGCTGCTGTTGTTGAAATCTGTCCTGGATCCTATTTTGTTTTTACAATGCCAAGAACGTCTATGATTTCTGTTTGCCATTAGTGTTTGAATTTGTGCAGAGAAATCTAATCTATCTCTTAAAAAGTATTTTCCCAAAATAAAAATAAAATACAAAGAATGGCAATTTTGCTCAATGAACTAATTATTTTAGACCCGGAAGAGCCCTTGAAATCATCCAGACAAGAATTTGTTGTGTTGTGGTCTTGTGGGCCAGCTGGACCTTTCCCCAAAAGAAATCTGGAAGGAGATCAAAGTGGAGCCCCCTGTGACGTGGGACGTGGGAAGAGGAGCCAGACACCAGTCCCCCAGCCCTCCTGGCTCCTGAGTCCCCAGGGTCCCTTTCAGAGCCTGGTTCATCCAGTCCAGTTTCATTGTCTCACACACAAGGAGCCGAAGCTCAGAGAGAACAGCAATCCGCCGAGGGTGAAGTCACCCACAACAGGAGCCACGCTTTCTCATCTGCTCCTCCCACGGCCGTATAAACCCCATCTCTGACATCACCTCCGCTTTTACAGATCAGTAAATGCTGGTTTCTCAAGGATGCTTTTTCTGACATGCCAGACTTACTGAAGTCTCCCATGTGTCCCTTTAATACCATGATCTATCTCTCTGAGATCCTCATCACATTTTTAATACTGTTTTCTTTTTCAGTTTATTTATTTATTTTGAGAGTGTGTGTGCGCACGAGTCGAGGAAGGGACAGAGAGAGAGAAGGAGGGAGAAAATCCCAAGCAGGTTCCACGCTGTCATCACGGAACCCGACACGGGGCAGGAGCTCAGGAATCATGAGATCACCTCCTGAACTAAAATCAAGATTCGGTCACTTGGGGCATCTGGGTGGCTCAGTAGGTTAAGCATCAGACTCTTGATCTTGGCTCAGGTCATGATCTCATGGTTTGTAAGATGAGCCCCGCATCACCCTCCTGCTGATAATGTGGAGCCTGCTTGGGATTCTCTCTCTCTCTCCCTTTTTCTCTGCCCCTCCCCCACTTTCACTCTCTCCATCTCTCTGTCAAAATAAATAAACTTAAAAAAAAAAAAAAGAATCAGTTGTTTAACCGACTGAGCCACGCAGGCGCCCCTGATAGTGTTTTAAGTCCACATCTACCCTACGTATAAATGCTATGGTGACAGGGACAGTGTCTCTCCTCCTCGTTACATCTCCAGAACCTAGAACTCGGTCTGTAAGCAGGACAAGCATAAGCACCTTCAGGGGAAGAGCCGTGCTGTCTTCTTAGCCCCAGTGCCTGGTTCTACGCCAAGCTCGGAGTAGCAGCATCTCAGTGAGTCTCCTGGACTTGAATTAGGTCGTGGAATTAAAACTACCTGGAAGTCAGGGAGAGCCTTCCTGGGCTTCATTCAGGCTTTCCTAGGCTGAGGTGGTCTTGAGCCACTGCTCTACCTAGTTTGTCCTTAATTTTGTCTACAATAAAAGTTGGATTTTGGAGGCTTAGGAAATCCTTCCATCTGGGAAATTCTATGATACTATTTTCCTCTGCTCAGAAATGTCCAGTGAAGACATTTGAAATAATAAAATAACTATATAGATATATAAAAATGTTAATTCTTTTTTTTAATGTTGATTTATTTGAGAGAGAGAGAGAGAACAAGCATGGGGACGGGGCAGAGAGAGAAGGAGACATAGAATCCAAAGCAGGCACCAGGTCCCCAGCTGTCCACACAGGCCCCGTGTGGGGCTCAAACCCACGAATGGTGAGATCACAACCTAAGCTGAAGTTGGACACTTAACTGACTGAACCACCCAGACACCCCTAAGAATATTAATTCTAATCAATAATTAGTAGTTAAGGGGGGCCGGAGTGGCTCAGTCAGGTAAGCATCCGACTCTTGATTTCAGCTCAGGTCATGATCTTGAAGTTCGTGAGTTCCAGCCCTGTGTCAGGCTCTGCTCTGACAGTGCATAGCCTGCTTGGGATTCTCTCTCTCTCTCTCTCTCTCTCTCTCTCTCAAAAAAGAAAAAAAGAATCAGTGGTAAAGAGAGGACCTTGGAGTCATACCGCATGCAAAGAAGTCTTTACCATTTACAGGGTTGACTGGATGGTAACTTCCCCACAGCTCTGTCTTTTCACTTCTAGAACAAAGGCAAGGATTGAATGAGATCACTAACTGAAGTACTTAGCATGGTGCTGATACCTAATAAGATCTCAACAAATCTCAATTGACATCATCATCAAGATTCTTCAAATGGAAATGATTTCCACTTAAACATACGTAAAACAAGCTTGAAGGCATTTCCATAAACTCACTGCTCTTCCTCTTTTGTTTTAGGAGACAGACCCGCAAAGGGAAGCAAGGTAAGAGAAATCATTAAAACGTGTTTGTTACCCACTCAATAGTTTAGAAGCATAGGAAGGAGGACAACGTAAAGGCTTAGCCATCACTTGAAAAATATAACCCGGAAGTCCGGTTGGGATTTGTAACTTCTGTTTGTAACCCCCCAAAACTGTTAACCACTAGTTCTGCTCAATGAACAATAAATTTAATTTCTGATTCTCTTTCCTTTGCAGACTCCTTTACCGCCTCCTCGGTAAGACCCTTGACATAGACATTTTATTTTGCTAGGCACTTAAATGATTAGTCCCAGAATTTGAAAAGCTCTAGAATCTAAAAAAGGGCAACCCAAACAGGTGGCGTGGAAGAACGAATAAGACTTGGCGTGAACGAGCCTTCACTCATCCGTTTAACCATCCACTCACTCACAGACATCTATTCCATACACGGGCACACATCAGCTCTTGGTGAACCCACTGGTTCTCTATGCTTTCCCTCCTTCCAGTACAGAGTCCCCCAGACTAGGAAATGCCTTTTAGGAACGAACAAGGTGTGTCATATTTATGCACGTATGTGCATTTTTCTATATAGCATATATAGAAATACAACTACTATTTCATTGCACATACACGTGAAGGTGAGAACAGCAGCCTGGACTTCTCGGGCTCCAGGTGAGTCGGCCACTACGCTGTCCCACGTGGGCCCCGGGAAGACCTAGAGTGCACTACCCTTGCTGGTCACCTCTCGTGGCTTCTCTGTCTGCCACCCTAGAGGGACGTGTCTTGAGCCAAGGTGACAGGGTCTCTCCTCTCTGCATCTCCAGCCTCTTTCAATAGTGCCTGATACGCCTTAGAAATGAGTGAGTGAGCCGCTCACTGGCTTTCAGACATGTTTCTGTGGGGAGTTTCAAGAGCTCACGTCTTCCCGTCTCCCTAGAACTCAGACAGGTGGCATATTGAGAAACCTGCGACACCCTCCAGAAGATTACGCCGCCTCCTTCAGGAAACAGACCCAGACCAAAGAGCACATTGTAGGGAGGGGGCTTTAGGCTCATTAGGAGAATGACTACAGCATTCTGACAACTGAGGCTCCCTGATATGGATCGGGCTGCCCTGTAAGGCGGCCAGCACCCCAAAACTGACTTCCGGGCCAACACTGGGGACGCGGAGGGCAAGACTGTCTGAAGAGCCACCTGTGCAGCCAACCTGCTCACACTGTCACTGTGATTCTTCCCCCAGGCCACCTGTCACTCTTCCAAAGAAGTACCAGCCCTTGCCACCCCAGCCAGAGAGCAGCTGGTCACCCCTCCCTCAGAGGCTCACCGTTCCCGATGTCCAGAGAGGACCCAGGTGACAGGTTTGATGTTGTTGCCGGTGGGCAGGGGAGGGTGACAAGGACAACCAGACACCCCTGCAGACAGGCTCCCTGCTACTGAGCCCGGAGCTGCCAATGATGCCTTGAGAAAGAACCTGCAGTCTGATTCTGTCACAGAAAATACACCTTCTTTGCAATAAAATGAGTTATTGAAACAAAGGCTCCCTTGAGACCTGAACCAGTCATTAAAGAAAATGTTCGGTGCCAGAACAGAATCAGGACTTTTTATGTAAAAACCAAAAAGGGGTTCAGACTACCTACAGACCATTACTGGCCCCCAGCTTCTCACCACCGAGGCTGAAGGAATGTGACCCAGTTGTCAAAAACAATATTGCCATTAGGATAAATAATTAAAAACACAACAATCACATAACGTAACAACTATAAATGGACATCCCCCCGCCCCCCTGCCCAGAGACTTTGAATTTCCGAAATTGCCTTATTTTAGAAGTCTCTCCTGTTCCTGCATGGAATGAACGACGCTTCCTTACTCCAAGCCTGAGTCAGCAGGGTGGGGCACAAGGCATTAGTTAGTAGGCAATCTTCATAGATACAGAAATTCAAAATATTGGCCACATGTTGAGCTTCTATGGAAAACCAGTCATCAGTGGTTCTGATGGGGAACGTTCGAGAACCTAAAATGCCCATTTCCGCCTTATTTTTCTGGTGAATGTGTCTTCGTCTGTTCATCCTTTGCAGCCTCATGCTACCATCCATCCTCCATGCGACAACACCTCCCCACCCCCACCCTTGCAATTTCCCCTCCTCTGTTGGCTTCTCCACCTGCCTAGCAGCGCGAGGAGGGACGCAAGCCCTCAGGTGTCCATTCCAACCGCCCCAGCGGAAATTCAGGTTCTCCTTCCTTCTCAACTGGCAGATTTGGGGCAATGGTTCTCAACTGGAGGTGACTTTCCCCCAGGGGAGGCAGCACTGTCCAGAGACATTTTCTGTTGTGACAAGTTGGGCCATGGCGCGCTCCTGGCATTTAGTGGGTAGAGCTCAGCGATGCCGCTAAACACCCCACAGCGTACAGGACAGTCCCGCAGCCCCAACAAAGAAATTAATCACCCCTGAAAGAAGGTCAGTAGTGCACAGGCTGAGGAACTGCTTTAAGGCAAACACTAAGCTTCGCCCAGCCCCAGCTGTTCTCGGCGGTCAAAGGAGGATAGTAGTAACACCTACCACCCACATCATGGGCTAATGTGAGAATTACACGTGATTGGTGCCAAGCACCTCGACAGTGCCCACCTCGACCAACATCTATTGCCCTCTTATTACCTTGAGTCGCGTCCTGTTGTACCTGGAGACACCACATAATTATCTGGTTACAAGTTTGTTCTACCCTAAAAGGTAGGGACTAACTCATTTCACTGTACAGTTTCGAGTACAGAGCCAGGCACATAGCACATGTCTGATAAACATATATTCCCTTCTGCAGTTTCCAGAGGGCCGTACCCAGACTGGGAGTCCCCAAATTTGCTCTGTTTTGGTGTCTATTTTCAAAGCACGGGAGACAGGAAGGCAACAACAATAATAGACCATCAAACCCATGATGTGGTATCATCAGAATTGGGAACGTAAAACATACCATCCCTGAAACTACCAAGCAAATTGTCTAATGGGTTACGGAACTGGTCAAAACTCAGAGAAGTAGAGAGATAGAAAATAGGATGAATAAAATATTAGAGGCTATGAGGTTGCTCCGTGTGGAGAAAAGGCAGATTTGATCTTCCTTCTGTTTCTTCGTGCAGAAAGAACAGGTGTTGGGACTCAGCAGAACTGGGTTTGGATCCCAGCTGAGACACTTCGGGCTGTATAATCTCCTAAAGCTCTCCAATAGTTCTGAGCTCCCTTCTTTGTGCAAACAACATAATCGACCCCATGTGACAGAGTGGCGGGGAGGAGGCGGGAAGGAGGTATGAGATTTCTCTCAAGCACCTAGGATGATATGAGTCAGAGCACAGGAAAGAAAGAAAAACACCTGAACACCATGCCCCATCTGTAGCCAACAGAATTAGGCACCCACACCCGATTTTTCTCTTGGAATACAGGCTATATATTTTACTGCAATGTTTCTCATCCTAGCTTTACATTAAAATAATTAGGAAAGCTTTTTTAAAAGTATTATTCCCTAGTATCTACTTTAATTGCTCTAAGAAGTGAGACTATTTTTTTTTTAATTTTTTTAATGTTATTATTTTTGAGAGAGACAGAGAGAGAGAGCAAGCAGGGAAGGAGCAGAGAGAAAGGGAGACACAGAATTAGAAGCAGGCTCCAGGCTCTGAGGTGACAGCACAGAGCCCGAGGCAGGGCTCAAACCCACAGACCACGAGATCATGACCTGAGCTGAAGTCGGCTGCTTAACTGACTGAGCCACCCAAGCTCCCCGGCATCACTGTTTTTTAAAACTCCCCGCTCCCACGCCCCACCCATGAATCTGATGCGTTACCAGGGGTAAGGACCCCAGGGGGAACCAGCTTCTAGGAATATATCTGCCACTAAAGAAAGCTTTGAGGGTCCTTGGGCCTTACCTATGAATGCCCAGGCTTCTTGTGTATAAAATGACGCTCCCTTGGTCCGCAGATGAGTTGCTTTGCAGGTCTAGCACTCCAACCACTGCAGTGGCTCTCAAATTTTTAAAAGTTTGCTTGTAAAACTCTGGCATTTCCGCAGTTACAGTCAAATTTGTTTAACTGCTTTTACAAGGGACGGGAACCTGGCTGGGTCTCTTCACCATAAACCCCTCCAGAGAATCGTCATATTCTGTATAACATCTCACCGGATCTTTCCAGCAGCCCTATAAAGTATGATTTTCCCTTTTAAAAAAAATTTTTTTTAACATTTATTTATTTTTGAGAGACAGAGAGACAGAGCATGAGCAGGGGAGGGCAGAGAGAGAGACACACACAGAATCCAAAGCAGGTTCCAGGCTCCGAGCTATCAGCCCAGAGCCTGATGTGGGCCTCAAACTTACAAACCGCGAGATCATGGCCTGAGCTGAAGTCAGATGCTTAACTGACTGAGCCACCCAGGTGCCCCAAAAGTATGGATTTTCTAAGGCTCAGTGGCTGGTTCCTGGTAGATGCTCAGTAAAAACCACTTCCCTACCCATTGGGCACATAAGGTCACTAAGATTTGCAGAAGTTAGGTGACTTGGTCAGTGATAGGGTTGGTGTAAGACTGTTGAGGAGTCAACACCTTGCAGAGCCTGTGCAAGACACTAAGAATGGTGCCAGGAATAAGAAAGAGTTTTGTTATAGGGCCAGAGCTTCTAAATTCATTTTGAGTTGGGCCCCTGTAGGGAGTCAGATGACCATTACTAAGGACCTACCTGTTGCCTGTAAACAACCACATCAGGTTGTTGCTAGGTTCCCCTTCTTTGAACACAGAAGGGACAGTAGAGAGCTGAGTTGCTTCAGCCAAGGAAGAATAGTGTGCTTCCCACTAGCTGCTCTGTAGGCACTTGGAGGTGGACAGCTTTCTGTCAAGGGAGGCTGTGATTTACGTGTGGCAATCGGCTGCAGCCACGGAGCGTATTGGGCTCTGCTCTACCACTGGTGAAAGTGGGTCCAGCTGTTGCTTCAGCAGCCATTTGACTCCACCAGCTCAGCCATTCTTTATTTTATTTATTTTTTATTTTTTATTTATTTTTTTAATGTTTTATTTATTTCTAGGAGAGAGAGAGACAGCGTGAGCAGGGGAGGGTCAGAGAGAGAGGGAGATACAGACTCTGAAACAGGCTCCAGGCTCTGAGCTNAGAGTTCCCCTGGAAAGCCACCTGGCCATGGTTTCTTGTTTTTTGGGAGATTTTTGATTACTAATTTGATTTTTTTAAAAAATATTTTTATTTCTTTCTTTTTTTTTTTTAATATTTTTATTTATTTTTAGGAGAGAGAGAGAGAGACAGCATGAGCAGGGGAGGGTCAGAGAGAGAGGGAGATACAGACTCTGAAACAGGCTCCAGGCTCTGAGCTGGCAGTCAGCACAGAGCCCGACGCGGGGCTCGAACCCACGAACCGCGAGATCATGACCTAAGCGAAAGTCGGACGCTTAACTGACTAAGCCACCCAGGCGCCCCTATTTTTTTTGTTTTTGAGATAATTTATTGTCCAATTGGTTTACATGAACATCTAGTGCTCATCTAAACAAGTGCCCTCTGCAGTGCCCATCACCCGTTTTACTTCTCCTCCACCCTTTCATTCACCCTCAGTTTGTTCTCTGTATTGAAGAGTCTCTTGTGGTTTGCCTCCCTCTCTCTCTATTTGAAACTATTTTTCTCTTTCTCCCCTATGGTCTTCTGTTAAGTTTCTCAAGATCCATGTATGAGTGAAAACATGATATCTGTCTTTCTCTGACTGACTTATTTCACTCAGCATAATACCTTCCAGTTCCATCCATGTTGCTATAAGTGGCATAACTTTATTCTTTTCTTACTGGAAAAGAATGTGTATTCTGCTGCTTTAGAATCAGAAGTTCTACATATATCTGTCAAGTCCGTCTAGTCGACTGTATCATTCAGGGCCATTGGTTCTTCATTGATTTTCTGTCTAGATGATCTGCCCATTGCTGTGAGTGGAGTATTTAAGTCCCCTGCAGTTAGAGTATTCTTACCAATCAGAATGCTTCTGTTGTGATTGGGTTTTTTTTTTCTTCCTTAAACAGTTTATTGTCAAGTTGGTTTACATATAACACCCGGGGGAGGGGGGAGTAGCGGGGGGTGATGGGCATGGAGGAGGGCACTTGTTGGGATGATCATTGGGTGTTATATGTAAACCATTCTCTATTTTAAAGCTAAGTCTCAGATTCACAAAAACAATTGTTTGAAGTGCTCCAGTTCAGGAAAATGCCCTTTAAATCCTTCACTGATGGGGGCGCCTAGATGGCTCAGTCAGTTAAGCGTCTTTGGCTCAGGTCATGATCTCGCCGTTCCTAAGTTTAAGCCCCTCATTGACCTTTGTGCTGACAGCTCAGAGCCTGGATCCTGCTTCAGGTTCTGTGTCTCCCTCTCTCTGCCCCTCCCCTGCTCGTACTCTGTCTCTTTCTTTCTCAAAAAATAAATTAAAAAAAAAAAAAACAATCCATCATTGATGACTGAAAACCAGAAGAGAGCTTCAAATCTGGGGAATGTTCACTGGGCATTCGTTCTCAACCCCTTGCACACCATTATTATGACTTTTATAATATCCATGCACTTAATTTTTTTTTTTTGCTCAACTCACTTTTTAAAGTAAATTAATTTAAAAAGGAAACATCATTACCTTAATTAACTGCAACACAGTTTCAGCCCCAAGCTTTGAGCCTGCTGAATTCTCTCTCTCCTAAAAGGGAAGAGAGCTAAAATCCAAAGGCACTATTTGAATAAAGTAACTGCCACATTGAAACTCTCTCTTTGACATAACTAGAAAGAGATTAGAAAGGAATAGCTTTCCAACAATGTATCCACTGTAATGTTAATACCATGACACACGTACCAAGTAAAAGCATCCTGAGTCATCAGAACAGGAAGTCATTTGCTGAGCTCCTGTTACACCCTGGAGTCTTTCAGATGCTTTACCTCATTTAGACCCACAGCCGCACTGTGCAGAAAGCAATGTCCCAACCCCCAGCTTACTGATGAGGACACAGAAATGCAGAGAGGTCATGAGCCACATCTCCCTGTCTCTTCAGCAAACTCCCACCCCACAGTGCAGGGTTCAGCCAAAATGTAATTTAAATAAGGTACCTGCTATTTAACCAACAGAACACCTGTCTGCCTAACTACAGTTTTCCCTTTTCAGCTGCCAAAGCTGGCGCCGCATCAGTTCAAGCAATCTCAGGGACAAAAATATACATCCTGATGATTCAGGAAGGGAAAGGAAAAAAATCTGTAGAGATATAGAGAAAACATAATCCTGTAAGAGAGGAAGCACAGATTACAAAGAAGATACACAAACCTGCATGGGAGCAGGGACTTTGGGTGGAAACTATTGATTTTAGAGTGTGAATGTAAATTATTATTATGTTTTGCAAGATGTTGCCATTGGGGGAAATGGGGTTAAGTGCAAGCGGGACCTCTCTGTAGTATTTCTTACACGTGCATGAGACCTACCATTATCTCAGAAGGAAAGTTTAATTTCAAAGAAAGTGGCTGTTAAAGGTGTCCTGCAGATGGAAGGTGTTTTTGGCATCCAAATAGCTTTCACATGTATTATTTCATGAGACCCTTAATCAACCCTCCCCATTTCTGTTAGGGGTTACCCATTTTACAGGCAGGAAAACCAAGCTTCAGAGAAGGGGCTTCTCTTACAGAGGGTGATGGAGCTCATAGATGGACAAGTGAGGATTCAAATCCAAGTATTAAAGCTAAGCAAAATCTAAGGGAAGCTCATGAAGGGCTATTTTTATCATTTTTTTCATGTTTATTTATTTATTTTTTTAAGTTTTTTTTTTTTTTTTTATTTCTAGGAGAGAGAGAGAGAGACAGCGTGAGCAGGGGAGGGTCAGAGAGAGAGGGAGTCACAGACTGAAACAGGCCCCAGGCTCTGAGCTGGCAGTCAGCACAGAGCCCGACGCGGGGCTCAAACCCACGAACCGCGAGATCATGACCTAAGCGAAAGTCGGACGCTTAACCGACTAAGCCACCCAAGTGCCCCATGTTTTATTTATTTTTGAGAGACAGAGCATAATTGGAGGAGAGAGAGAGAGAGAGGGAGACAAAAGATTCGAAGCAGAATCCACGCTAACAGAGAGCCGATTGCAGAGCTCGAACTCATGAACATGACCTGAGCATGACCTGAGCTGAAGTCAGATGCTTGCTTAGCTGACTGAGCCACCCAGGTGCCCCAGGGCTAGTTTTAAAGTAAAATGTATTATCCTCAAATACATACTGAGCACCTATTATGCCCAGGAAAGGATGTGGAGATGCTTATTCATGCCGTGCAGTCAGTGACCACGTGTTTGGTTGTCTCTGAGACAGAACACAGGAGAACTTGCACGAGCTGAAAGAATCTCCCTCTCAGGGAGGCAGCGTGGGGACCAAGTCCCCACCCTGCTCTTCTGTTTTGTGACTGCGTAGGTCTCTCTCTGTCTTCATAAATCCCATTTGAGAGACACCTCCCCCCCACCATCACCAAAGCCCGATGCCTTCATTTTACAGGTAGAGGGAGCAAATAACTTGTGGAGTCTTCTCAACATAGGCGTTTCTATGACCAAAGACTTTTTGTGCACAAAAAACACTCCTGAAATTACCTGAGTCAATTAAACCTGAGTTCACTTAAAATTTCATTGGTGGGGGTGGGTGGAGGGGGGCAGACCAGGGTGGCTAAGTCGGTTAGGCGTCCCACTTCGGCTCAGCTCATGATCTCGCGGTTCTTGAGTTAGAGCCCTGCGTCGGGCTCTGTGCTGACAGCTGAGAGCCTGGAGCCTGCCTCAGTTTCTGTGTCTCCCTCTCTCTCTGCTCCTCCCCTGCTCACATTCTGTCTCTCAAAAATAAATAAAGAAAACATTTTAAATCTTTTTAAATAAAAAAAATCCATTTTTAATGTTACCAATTCCAAAGCCCAGCTTTCCTGAAGCCTCAAATTTCCATGTATAAAGTATACTGCTCTATTTATAAATTGAGCAATTTTATCGAAACAGAAGGACAGTCACTCTGACACACTCAATAGATTAAGGAACCTTAGACTATAAGACTTATTTACAAATTCAGTTAAATTTCCTTAAACATTTGAAATACCTTTATATCCATCTAACTTTAAACCGTAATGAGCAACACTTTCTTTAACAACTTTTATAAACCTAATAAGGTAAATGTTAAATCTAGAAAAATTCAAGCGCTCTTCAACAGTTCAAACTCTTTATAAATGGAGTCAAACACAGCCTGACTCTTGTAACTTAAAATCACAAGTCTAAAATCAACTGCACATTTTAAAGCCACATGGCCAGTAGGTCAGTATTCCTAAAATGACAGTCTCTTAAACATCAAAATCAGAAATTAGCTTCAATTTCACTCAAATAATTAATACTATCGGTGTCTGTTCTACTTTATTTCTTCTGATCATATGTCTTTAGCTTCCCATTTGCCCCATTGAAAGAGGTACGTAGGGGACACCTGGGAGGCTCAGGGGGTTTTAACCACCAGTCTCTTGATCTCAGCTCAGGTCATGGTTTCATAGTTCATGAGATTATGGCTCATGTCTGTCGGGCTCCACTAACAGCACGGAGCCTGCTTGTGATTCTCTGTCCCCCTCTCTCTCTGCCCCTCCCCTCCTCATGCTCTCTCTCTCTCTCTCAAAACAAATAAATATTTTTTTAATAAAGAGGGGGGAGGTAGGGTGCAGATGTAGCACCCCCGATGGGCTGATGAAACAGGTTACAAAATGTGGCCTTCGGTCCACTTGTCTGAGAGCAAGATGCAGACCTGAGTGCCATGTGCTCCTGGGTTCAACCCTATTGCTCTAAATCAACAGTGTCCATCTGGGGCTGGTGTTGCCGCCCCAACCTCCTGGCATTGCTTCAAGGCCAGTCTCTTGCTGGCAGAACTGGCAGACAGAATGTGCTTGTCACCATCGTGCCCTTCATCATCCCCCTCCATCTGGCTTTAACCACATCCCAGCAGCTCAGTGCCCACTGAGCACCTCACATTGTCATCCTTGTCACTAGCAATCCTTACAATACTCCTCTAAGATGAATGCCCTTGTGGCCATTTCACAGATGAGAAAAATGAGGCTCAGAGGAGAGAACTGACTTAATTGTCAGTTTCCATGAAAGGTTTGCCGATTCTTCTGAAGGAAGAATGGCCCATGTTAGCACACTGTGTATTGGGTTCTTGTCCCATCATTCATTGCGTGGTTTTCCTGTCTCTGTCTCCTCTCCCATGAGCATCCTTTCTCTGACATGTGGCTTCCTGGGATCCCTCCGTACCCTAACTTCATGCATAAGACTCTTGACACTTCCTCAAAGCAAAACACTAGGAGCTTTGCAATCATGGTAATACTAGCGGGTCTGACTGTGCTAATGAAATCTGACATGGAAAACCAAATGTCAGGAGAAATGGGGATGCTATTTAAATTCTCCGAAAATGAGAAGCTAGTTTATTGGTGTCCTTTCTGTCACCACTTTTCATATTGCCTCGTAACTTCTTCTGTTGCTTACAAAATTATGAGAAAAATAACCTGGCAGTTGCTTTATAAAACAGTGATGAATATCACACTGGACCATGGGCTATTAATTTGGCAATGAAAGTGCAATCAAAGGTTTTTAAGGGCTCAGAATGATTTTATCTTGATCATTATGAACTGTATTTTATGTAACACCGTATTTCTTTTCCTTTCAGACAGATAAGCTTAAAGGACTTACATGAGGTAAGTCCTGAGAAACAAAGAAGGGAATTTCTGTGCATTAACATCTGTGATAGGCAAGATGCTATTTGATTCAGAGATGTCATCACACTTAATTTTCATAACAGCTATGCTCAAGATGTATTATGATCCCTATCTTAAAGGTGGAGAAAACTAATGCAAAACAAGTTAAGATCCAGATCTGAGACCAAGGTCCTATTATGCCACATGAATAGACTCAGTGTTCACTGGTACAATGAAGATAAAAGCATCCTAGTTTCCATGGAAGACATAAAACTTCCACCAAAGGCATCAAGTCTCCAGGTTTACAGAAATAAGATGTTGGACATTGTACTATACCTCACCATTTGTTCTTCACAAGAAAGACAAGGTGGCTTGGTACAAAAAAAAAAAAATATATATATATATATATACATATATATATATACATATATATATATGTATATATATATATACCCACACACACACACGTAGAGCTGAGTTTGAATACAGCTGTGCCACATACCACTTTTGTGCACTTGGGCAAGTCCCCCCACACACACACAACCCCACCCCTCTTTCTGTTTTCTTGGTCATAAAATAGAGATGGTTACCCTTCTTGGCAAAGTTGTCAAAAAGCTAAAGTAGGTCAGACCAAGTATGTAAATGACCAGGTGAGCAGTAGAGGCTCCATAAATGGCATGAAAGTAGGTAAGACGGAGCTCTGCCAGCTCCTCCACACTCACTTCCCTAACCCCCAATAAGGAAGTTCCCTAACAAGGGATAGGTCCACTGTGACTAATGGAAAGTCTCTGTCCAATAACCACAGTGGTCTCCTTCATTCTCACCGGCTTCCTGAGAGACATGGTCCTTGTCTTAGCATTTGACCTATGCTCTTACATCTAGACCACAGAGGTTAATTTGTTTTCTTTCTTTTGTTCTGTCTGTCTTTTCTTATTTGGCTTTATGAGAATGCTAGAATCAAAAGTCACACTTCTCACGTGTCACTCAGGAAGACACTTACCACCTCTCATCCATAGATAATCATGGCACATAACTGCTGAATGAGAAAGCCAGGCCTGGTTCCAATCAGGACTTCATCCGGCTCCCCCTGTTCTGGGAGTTGTTGGATTTTCCCAGTTGGTATGGCACTCTGCTGCTGGGCACTCTATGGACTCCACCCCTTTCTTCCTGTGGGTCCACTTCATGCATCACAAATAGCAGATGGCTGTCACCCAAGATGACCTGGTGTCCATAACTCATCGGTCAGCCTCCAAGGACAATAGGCCTTCCAATCACTAACAAGCAAGGAGGAAGTGGAGAGGTCAGCTTTAGCCAGCTGGGGTTGTGCAGGATAATTTGTTTTTCTTTGAGACTTTGGTTGGCATTCTGCTAGAAGTGGATATCATCTAAAGAACACAAGGCCTACTGGAAAAACACATTCTTCCTCCTTATGTATTACCAAGACACTTCCCCATAGTCTGGGCCAAGGGTCAAGGCCATTTCTCCACCAACAAAATCCATTTCATAGGGCAAATGCCATGCTTCGGTGTAAAGAGATGACTCAAATTGTATCTTGGGGTACCGGAGCCCATTCCAGGAGAAATGATGTGCTGCCCACCCCAAGTCAAATTCACATAGCACTTGGAAGTTTTCAAAGAGAGGCTCATTGTCTCCTTTAATTTTCACAAAACCCTAGGAGAAAAAGAAGCTTCAGAGATGTGAAAGGCTTGTCAAAGTTCCCACAGCTGGCAGAAGACAGGGCCAGGCCCTGAAAGCCCAGGTCTAATCCCCACAGTATGAGTCTCTGCCTTAGGAAATGCAGAGACAACTCCAAGCTAAAGTAGTTTAAAAAAAAAAAAAAAAAAGGAGGAAGAAGAAGGACAGAAGTAAAAAAGGAAGGGCAGATAGAGGGAGGGAAATAATAAAGGAGGCATTACTTTTTAACTTGAATATGTTTCTTTTCTAACAACAAAAGTTAAAGTGGAGAAACTAGAGGTTTTGCCCCACTTTTCTAATTACATTTGATTTTAACTTCAGAGCCCTCAAGCAAAACGTTGACTGGATCTCAATTTTAAAAAGCACCTGCTGTCCCAGATGGATGAATTCTTAGCCATGTTTACAACTCTGCTCCCTCAGCTCCTTTGACAAGCCTGAGAACAATAGCTCTGAGCACTTTGAGCTACCAGGTCCAAAGTCCTGGGGAGGACTCAGTGGGAGACTCTCAAACCACTCATTAGAATGGATTCATTACCCTTTTTACTTAGCCTATAGATTTGCCCTGATTTGCTGTCCATGATGAAAGTATGTCTTCTTTCCAGAAGCCGGCTGAGGTCTTCCAAGCAAAAGAGTGTGTCTGCTGGCTAGCTTCAGACAAGACATTCAATGCTTCTCTAAGCTATTCGTTGCTAAAGATTTCTTGTCTGTGAAGCTAATGTGAGTCAGGAGACCTGGGTTCCAAGATCAGTTCACACACATACACACACACCACACACCTGCATGGACATACATCATAAACTCAGAGTCTAGTCTGAATTTTTCATGTAACATTGAGACATACTTACAGTATAATCCTATCTCACAGTCTACAGAAATACCTGCAATGCATTTATAATACTCCAATAAGTGAGTATAGCACCAAAATTCACTTAATGGCCCTCACTTTGGTGGGTGTGTAGATTGTTTCCAGAGTTTGGACACTATAAGTAACGGTGCTCTGGACATCTTTGCGCATGGAACTTATTCCAGATTTCAGGTGTCCTCTTAAGAACGAAGTCTTGTCGGTGAGAATGGACGCATTCCTAAGATCCTTGAAAGCTATGGTTCAATTGCTTTCATTAGAGTCAAAGCAATTTATGGTGTCATCAGCAGATCGTATATTTATTTGCCTCTTGTAGCACACAGACAGCATAACATTTTGATTTTTGCTTCATCTTTTGGAGAATTATATATAGCTTAAAAAAATCGATACTTATAGCAAAAATGTTGCCCAAATTCTACTAACCAATTACTACAAAACACATAGTTTTTTTGTTTATTTTTTATCGTTTATTTATTATTTTTGAGACAGAGACAGAGCACAAGCTGGGGAGGGGCAGAGAGAGAGGGAGACAGAATCTGAAACAGGCTCCAGGCTCTGAGCTTCTCAGCACAGAGCCCAATGCAGGGCTCGAACTCACAGACTACGAGATCATGAGCTGAGCCGAAGTTGGACACTTAACCGACTGAGCCATCCAGGGGCCCCCAAAACACAGTTTAATGTAAAATTCTCTATCTTCAAGAGTCACTCAACACTGTTTTGTTGTTGTTGTTTTTTTAATTCAATACAGGTCCTTGGAACAGAGAGAGGTGAGCTGTTTACATTTGTTTTCATACCGTGGTGTCATCAGGTTAAGTTCCATTTCCAGATTTATAGCATCAGTCATTTTTAAAAGCCTGGGATGTATGAGCACCAGCATATGTGTGTGATGACATGATCCAGATGTGCCCAGGATCTCATAGTCTACTCAAGAGCCCTCTTGTTGAAATAGGGTGATTTAAATTGGGGGAGGGGGTGAGCTAAAGGTCCTTCTCCTGTCACAGGCAACTGGCAAGAAGGAGGCACACTGTCAGCTCCTGCCACTTTATTATTATTTTTCAATATTTATTTATTTTTGAGAGAGAGAGTGAGCAGAGGAGGGGCAGAGAGAGAGGGAGACAGAATCCCAAGCAGGCTTTTCACTACCAGTGCAGAGCCTGACACAGGACTCGAACCCACTAACTGTGAGATCATGACCAGAGCAGAAACCAAGAGTCAGACACTTAACCGACTGAGCCACCCAGGCGCTCCAGCCCCTGCCACTTTAGAAAGATGTGGCCTGCCTACTGTTTCACAGAAGCTCTTGGTCCCCCTAACTTTGCACATACACGCATGGCCTCATTTGAATACACGCACACATATTTGTGTGCACATTGTTGGTGCCATTGTGCATCGCAATCCAACACTCACTCGGGAGCTGACAAAATTCTAAGCAGTAGTAAGTTCATGCTCACCTTTGAAATATCATTCACCACTCACTTTGAATGATGAGTTACATCAAAGCCGAAGGGACTGAACCACGGCCCAAAGACTGAAGATGGGGCAGGGGGTGGGGGGGTGGGCATAGTTCCACAAAGCAACACTGGGTTAGAATTTCAGAGGCTGCCACCAACTCACTGTGTGGTTTGGGCCATGTCGTGTTGCCTCTGTGGGTCTCAAGTCTGCTCTTCTTTATAGCAAAGGAGTTTGTCTTGAGTAAGGCCTAACTTGGGTTTGGAGATTCCCAAGGGTCCTTGATGGAGGAGTGGAGGTCAGTTGACAATTCTAAATAATGTTAAGATCTAAAAGGAACCGTTCCCCTTTTCACACTAAAGCTCAACACCCTCATTAAAATGTTCAGCTGTTGTTGCTGTGGACTCCCATGATTATCAGTGCAACAATGTCACGTGTTCAGCTCATGAGGGCCACATGCTCTGTAGGGCTGCTGATAACAGGAAATGGTTGTAAGGGATGGGTGACTAGCAGACCAGGTCATCGGCCCCCATAACATTGCAAGTTATCACAGCCCTTCGATCAGAGGCGTCCGGTCTGTGACCAACCTTGGACTAAACACAGAGCAACAACCAGAATTAAGACATGTCGGTGTTGATGTGCTTCCTTAACTTTATTCCTCAGGACAGCCACTGGGAGAGTGTTTTATGGCCTTTCACATCCTGGTATTATTACATGCCCTTGGTGATTCTGGATGGCTGGTTAAAATCTATTCATGATGAAAAGGAAATAAATAGTGGTAACACCCACGGCATATGTAATTACTAAATAACTCCAGTTCCTTATGGTTGGCAGAACTTTTCAAAACTCAAAGATCAAAGGGGGAAAATTAAAGAAACATATGTCTGCTGGTTACCAGGTAGGAACTACTGGTCCTTGTTAGAACCCTTGAGCTCTCCTGCCCTTTCACAGAAGAGGTGAAGGCATTCAGGAGGGCTCGGGCCAGCACCGGGCAACCCCATACCCTACATTGCTCAGAGCAGTTCTTAGGTTTAACTTTGTGAATTATGTTCCCATGTAAGTTTTCATTTGAATGTAGAATTCAGCTTCAGTTCACTTCTACTTCAAGCCCTTCCAATACCAAGTGCCTTCCAATGTAATACTCTGTATTTCGGGGAGCTCAAGGATGAATTCCAAATTCAGTAATCTTGATATTATTGAATATTCACTCTTCAAAGCAATTTTTATAGCCTCTGGGAGAAGCCACGCCCAGGAGCCAGGGGTGTTACAGAATATGTTAAGTTATGGTTTCTGCTGACCACCAACAGCCCACTCCTACTTATCAGAGATTACTCAGATGAAATTATAGAAGTTTCAGTAAATCCCCAATAATTTTCCTTTTACAACCTGACTACATGATGTGACTCCTTTATGCAGTTCCTCATTACAAGATGAAGCCTGAATCAATTCACCTGTCACAAAATCAATGTACTCAAGAGATTCCTCTTGCCGTCACCAGGTAAGGAGCCAGGAATTCCTTGTTGGGCTTCAGCCTGGGATCAGGCCATGTGTCATCCTGGATAATGATTCAGCAAGGTTTCCTGAGACATGGGACTCTTTGGTCTTTGATAATGAAGCCCAGTGATGAGGCCCATGGGAAACCTGCGAGTCATAGTTGTTATGGAAGCTAATGGCATTGTGCTTCCTTCAATTTATAAGTGATTTGATTGTTAGAGAAGTTTGGGAGGTTTGAAGGCTTGGGTATTAACTAGACAGGATTAACTGAATGGATGTAAAATAGTCTGGGAAAAAAATTTGACCATTTCTAATTATTCCCAGTTGATGACCACACACAAACTTACAGCTACTTTTGAACAAAACTTTGTAGTTGGTTGGGGGGTTGAAAATGCCATTATCTGATTTAACACTTGCCTAATCTGGTTATTGTGACTACTGCTGTCCCAATTGAAGATTCGAGAAAGCAAAGGCTCAGGCCAGTGATTCACTCAACAAGGTCACTGTAAATTAGTGGTGGTTTCAGTAAAACAAACTCAGGGTCTCCAAAATGAGTGCTTTTAAGTTCCCCATGATCTCAGGCTGGCTGGTGGCCCCAGCCTCAGTCCGTGCCAGCCTCCCACCATCTCATTCCGTGTTGTCACTTAATGAAGGACATTTGCACGTGCTATTCCTCTGTCTATGACTTCCTCCTTTTTCCACCCTCTCCCTACTTGGAAGACCCCTCTTTATCCATCAGATCCCAGTTTAAAGCCACACTGAATTTAGGAGATAGTTCTGACCCACTCCCCAGAGGTAGTAAATGAGGCCCAGAGAGGCAGAGTTCCTTACCACTAAAGTCAAGTCCAACTTCGAAACCCAAACGCTTTTCAGGAGTCCATGTTTCCTATAATAGCTTGATTCTGAAAATGCAGCCCATGAATGCTGACTTGTCCCAGATCTGTTGCAAGTGCCCAGGGAATGTCAGCTCTCATTGCCATTGCCAGGTCTGCACATCAGGGGCATGATCTCCATCCCCCGTTACCTCCCCTTCCTTCTCTTGCATATTGTTGTTTTACTTGTCTTTTATTATATTTTTATAATCCTTTTTCTCTTATGGATTTCCTTATAATAATCCACAGTTTCTCACTTAGCTCACATTTCAAGAAGGATCAAAATAATTTCTATTCTCCTCGTGCTTGCTGAGGCTCGCTCTTCTTCAACTGGTAAACAATTTCTGTAGACTATTAGCTCCAACCTATCATTTTCTATAGTGACTGTAGTTACAAGGAATGTCTGAATTCATGGCTCCCAAAAGCAAAGAATCATGATATGTGCTCATTGAAATACAATGGGAAGAACTTGTATGGGTCAATTTGTTCCATATCTGTTTGCCTGTCTTGAGAAAGAGCCAGCCTCCGATTACCTTACAAAACAGAAAATTTTGTAGCACAGCCAGTGAAATATGAAGTCCTTTGTAAATGTGACTTAGTCCATTATGACCGACCTTGCCTTTGAGTGGAATTTTACCCACTCTGGGAAATACTAACATTGTGTCAATTCTAACATTTCCTTTAGCTCACCACTCACGACAAGGAACCAAAGTGTGCAAAACAGAGGTAAGAGTGCCTTCTGCAAGAATTATAAAACAAACAGGTAAGCCATCACACTACAATGTTCCTGCACCGTGACTTTGCTGGTTCGAACCTTGCCGTCATTGAGCTCATGCGTGTAGGTGTAATTAGCTCGTTTTCATTGATAGATAGTATTCCATTATGTCAATATAAAAATTTTTATCCATCATTAAATATGATCAGTTAGGTGGTGTCCAGTGCTTTCATCTTCTTTTTCTTTTTAATAACGTTTTTTATTTTTTTAACATTTAACTTATTTCTGAGAGAGAAAGAGAGAGAGACAGTGTGAGCAGAGGAGGATCAGAAAGAGAGAGAGACACACACAGAATCTGAAGCAGGCTCCAGGCCTTGAGCTAGCTGTCAGCACAGAGCCCGAGGTGGGGCTCAAACCCACGAACCGTGAGACCATGACCTGAGCCGAAGTCAGAGGCTTAACCGACTGAGCCACCCAGGTGCCCCTCCAGTGCTTTCTTCGTATGAACACTATGATGTTATGAACAATATTTTAGAAGTTTTCCCATGTACACAACATGGTAGCATCTCTAAGAGTGAAATTTCGGGGTTGGATGTGTGCCTCTCTTCGATTGTACTAGATGCATCTTCCAAAGTAGACACGAGTGTCACCAACAGTTTATGAGTCCTCTTCATTCCCCATCATCTCCAACAGTAGTTTTTGACAAACTTTTAGTTTTTTCTAATTCTTCAGATGAAAAACAATAGATTTATCTTAAGTCTGTCAAATGAAGAACATCAAACTGACTTCTCTTACTAATGGATTGTAAAGATAAAAACCAATAAGGTACCTGTCTGTAGAGATGTCTACAGCAACATGTGAATATAGTGTTATATTACTACTGGTTGTGGGTTTTGATATCATTAGTATTATTTTGTTCAAACAAATCTAGTATGTTCTTTTGCATTTCTTTCTTCACCCCATATGCTATGGAGATTCTGTGTTCAGGCCTAATCCTGCGCTCTCTTTCTGTTGAGCCACAAAAGGGCTTAGAGCTTGAGAAACCAGATCCCACAGGATACAGTGGAATGACTGAGGGTTTCAGTGACCTGTGCGCCCATTCTGCCGCTCTCCCTGCAAGAGGGTCATCTTGAGCAAGTTAATTCTTAGATCCTCACCCTCCCCAATCCATAAAATCCAATAATAGTATTAACTCACAGGGTTATACATGCACCCACAGTCATGTGACACATAGTAGGCAACTGACACACTTTAATATCCTTCCTTCTCCAGGGATGCCCTATCCAACTGACCATTAGACCTAAGAATTTCTTCCCTCACCTCCATCACGTCCTTACTTCTCTTCTGCCTTATACTATCTGGGCCTTAGACTGGAAAACCAATCTGGAAAGCTTATTTCCCCTGATGTGCACCTTGCTAATAAGAGTTTCCCAAGAGAAGACTTCCTTGATTCTTTTTAACATAATTTATCATCAAGTTAGTGGATATACAGTGTATACAGTGTGCTCTTGGTTTTGAGGATAGATTCCCTTAATTCATCACTTACATACAACACCCAGTGCTCATCCAAACCAGTGCCCTCCTTCCTTTTTTAAAGAAAGGCCGTCAAAAGTAGCCATATGGGACAGGCTCAGTCCACAAGAATCAAATAACAGAAACAGTGGTCCCGGAGGCCAGAAATAGGTGTATGAAGACAGAAAGACTTAGGGTATCCAGGTGGAAGGTCCAGGGGCTGAGTGGACCCAAAAAGGACATTATTTATCAGGGTTGTGAAGGGGAAGGGGGGTGATGGGCATGGAGGAGGGCACTTGTGGGGATGAGCACTGGGTGTCATATGGAAACCAACTTGACAATAAACTATTAAAAAAGCGGGGAAAAAGATATGCTGCAGGGATGGGAAAGCAGAATCAAGCTTAGAGAAAATGCCACAGTCTTCATTTGAAAGACAAAATCATGCACAAATGAAAAATGAAGACCAATGAAAGAGTGGAGCAGCGGTATTAGTGACATGGATGGCCTTCACAGTCTTGAGTCCAGTCAAGCATCCTAGGACTGGGTGTATTTCACCTGTACTGGGATCTTACAGATAGTCCTCCACTCATGTTGGAGAAATAGTCACTTAAGGAAGCAGCCCAGAATGGACAGGGGAAGTGTTGGGCCTCCAGATCCTTAAAACACCATCAATTCCTCTTTCAGTCCTCAAATATCCATGAAGCACATAGTTTATATACAGAATTGGTCTGGGCCTTATGAATACAGGACAGGGACACCCCTGCCCTTCAGCTAACCAGTACTTTCACACCTGCAATGCTCCTCCATTAGTTTATTGGGCAGGTATATATTCTACTGAGTGAAAATTCATTTCTGGATCATGAGGGCTCAACAGAAATTAGCTGCATGCAGAACCACATTCCGGCACTCATGTTTTCAGTTAACAGGGTTCTCTGAAGCTTACTGGTCTTAATTTGAATAGCTCAGCCAAGGGAGGCAACACTCTTCACATAGAATAAGTGAAATACAGACCTCTGTCAATGTAGACACTATCATCTTTATTTTACAAATGAGAAAGGAATTTAAGAAATGCTTATTCTTGACAGTTCAGCTACAACTTGATAAACAGACTTGGCTCAATTCTCTGATAAATGAATTCAAGCTAAGCTATTAGGAGTCTGATAATTCTATACCCAAAAATTCCAAAAGGGGGGGGGTGGATTCCACACCACCAGGCAACTACTGCCACCAGTTGGGTGATCTATAGTTCAACTCTATTCTGACACCACATGGAGTCCATAGATTCCACATGTTAAGAGTTCAATCCCACCAGATTACATCCCCCACGAACCCAAGTCAGATGCCAATCATATGGCCATTCTGACCAACCAGCTATAGAGCCAAGGTTCCAACAAACCCCTCCCTAGGTCCAATTAATTTGCTAGAGTGGTTCACAGAACTCAGAGCAACATTGTTCTTGCTGGATTACGAGCTTATTATAAAATAATACAACTCAGCCACAGCCAGATAGAAGAGTTTCCTAGGGCAAGATCCTGAACAAAGGCACTTCTGCCCTCATGGAGTTTGGGGCACTGTATGATGGCACATGGTACACAAAGCCAAAAGCTCTCTGAACGCATCCTTTGGGGTTTTGTAAAAGTTTCATTACATAGGCACTATTGATGAAATCATAGGCCATTGGTGACCGATTCAACCTCCAGCCCCACTCTCCTTCCCTAGGTCAAGGGGGAGGGACTAAAAGTTCCAATCCCCCAATCACATGATTGGTTTACCTGATAACCTGCCCCCATCCTTAGGCACTTCCCAAAAGTCACCTTATTAACATGAACTTGGGTGTGGTTTCAAAGGGCTTGTTTTAAATATTAAGGTAACTATATCATTATCACTTAGGAAATCCCCAAAGTTTTAGGAGCTTCTGTTAGAAACTAGACTACAACTAAATATATGTTTCATCACAGCATCACAGAGCCTAAGGAAATGGATGTCAGGACAAAAAAAAATATTTTTATATATTGGAAGAGGATCCAGAAAGGTTTGGCTGTAATCCAAAATTGTAACCACATTACTCTCTAAATTTGGGATTGTGGATGATCTGTGTTCCTTTTTGTTTTAAGTTTTTGTTTTCTAATGTTTTCTTTTTGTATCAGTATTTTTTCCTTTTTTATTTATTTAAATTCAAGTTAGTTAACATATAGTGTAATATTGGTTTCAAGGTTAGAAATTAATGGTTCATCATTTCCGTATAACGCCCAGTGCTCATCCAAGTAAGTGCCCTCCATTTTTTTAATTAATCAATTTATTTTTTGATAGTTTATTGTCAAGTTGGTTTCCATATAACACCTCACAAGTGCCCTCCTCCATACCCATCACACCTCTCCCCTCTCCCCCTCCCCCGTCAGCCCTCAGTTTATTCTCAGCATTCAAGAGTCTCTCACTGTTTGCCTCCCTCCCTCTCCCCCACTATTTTTCCCCTTCTTCTCCCCCATGGTCATCCATTAAGTTCCTCCTAATCCTCCTATACGTGCAAACATATGGTATCTGTCCTTCTCTGCCTGACATATTTCGCTTAGCATAACACCCTCAAGTTCCATCCATGTTGCTACACATGGCCAGATTTCATTCTTTCTCATTGCCATGTAGTATTCCATTGTATAAATAAACCACATCTTCTTGATCCACTTGTCAGTTGATGGACACTTAGGCTCTTTCCATGATTTGGCTATTGTTGAGAGTGCTGCTATGAACATTGGGGTCCATGTGCCTCTATGCATCAGCACTCCTGTATCCCTTGGGTAAATTCCTAGCAGTGCTATTGCTGGGTCCTAGGGGAGTTCTATTGTTAATTTTTTGAGGAACCTCCACACTGTTTTCCAGAGGGGCTGCACAGGTTTACACTCCCACCAACAGTGTAGGAGGGTGCCCGTTTCTCCACATCCTCGCCAGCCTCTGGAGTTCTCTGGTTTGCTCATTTTAGCCACTCTGACTGGCGTGAGGAGGTATCTCAGTGTGGTTTTGATTTGTATTTCCCTAATAATGAAGGACACTGAGCATCGTTTCATGTGTCTGTTGTCCATCTGGATGTCCTCTTTGGAGAAGTGTCTGTTCATATCTTCTGCCCATTTCCTCATTGGATTATTTACCTTTTGGGTGTGGAGTTTGGTGAGTTCCTTATAGATTTTGGATGCTAGCCCTTTATCTGATATGTCATTTGCAACTATCTTTTCCTATTCTGTCGGTTGTCTACTAGTTTTATGGATTGTTTCCTTTGCTGTGCAGAAGTTTTTAATCTTGATGAGGTCCCATTGGTTCATTTTTGCTCTTGATTCCCTTGCCTTTGGATATGTGTCAAGTAAGAAATTGCTGCAATTGAGGTCAAGGAGGTTGTTTCCTGCTTTCTAATCTAGGGTTTTGATGGTTTCCTGTCTCACGTTCAGGTCCCTTATCCATTTTGAGTTTATTTTGGTGCATGGTGTGAGAAATTGACCTAGTTTCAATCTTC